CCAGTTAGAGTATGGTACAATGTAACTTCATGGCACAAGCTAATTGTAAGGTCCATTGTGCTTTTCAGCAAGTCAGCCTGATATCCCCTGTTATCAGAGCTGAGTTCTTCCTTGGTTCTGCTACATCTTGCAAGGTAGGTACATCTACCCTTGAAACACAATGGTAGAGGTCATACATAGGGGTGAGAAAGATGATGATGGGAGGAAGATGATGTGGGCAGGGGTCGCTGGCCCCTTGCCCTACAAGTAGGGCAGGCACAGACTGTTGCCATCAGGCAGTGATCAGGCGGGGTTTGGCTGCCATTCAGGCCTCCCCTTACACTGCGTCCTGGCCCTACATGGTGTAATGTGGAGCTGATAAAAATGGGCTGTCAGGACTGCTGAACTGAGCGATCCTCATCCTGCCACCGAGCCTGTGTTGCTCCGCGGGGACGCCCGCGAAGGGATGGGCACCGACCAGCTGCTGCAGATCCTGACAGCCCTGCCTGTCTGTGGGGGTGGGCACAGTTTAGTGATAGGAAGCAACTGAGAGAACAAACTTTTTAATATCCTTTTAGTGTTCCTTTAATTCCCCTTTTATTTTTCCTTTAGTTTCCCTTTTTACTAACCAATATCGTGTTAATTGTTATCCATAATATTGTGTTAAGACCCTTTTTTGGTATCCCTTTCCACTAGTTAATACCGTATTAAATGCTGTTCTAAGTATTTGTTTTAATGCCACCCGATAAGGTAGTTATTTTGTATCCTTTTTTAGTTTTTAATTCCTCTTGCTAAGTTTATTACAGTTTATTCTCACTGTAATAAAAGATATTTTGTGTGTTGAATATTTCTGGCACTTGTCTTTATTCCGGACATGTGTCCAAATGAACTGTTACACCTGCAGAAGGAACCTGGGAAGTCCCAGCATCCTGGCCAAATAATGACATGGGTACTTGTGAGGTGATGCTTCTGCACAGCCTCCTAGACAGGGCTCTGGGAGCCTCTCCTGAACCTTTTCCACTTGGCTCAGCAGAGCATGCAAACATTTTGTGCTCCAAAGAATCAGTTTTGTAACAAAAGTAATGAAAACAGGAAGAACTTTCTTTGTTCTCTTGCCTGCTATGTATTTGTCTCGCTGCAATCATATGTTTTCACCATTCATTTGTTCTGCTGCTTTATAATGAAGATGTTGTTTGAAGCTGACTGGTCTGGATTGCTTGTGCCTTATGCCTGGGAAGCCCAGCAAATTATTACCTGGCTTTGAAACTTCAAGGGTAATAAGTTTATGAAACACAGTTCTTGTGGTCTGAGATAGTTAATGCTGGAGCACCTGTGACTCACCAGCATTCCCTGTTTTCTGCTAGGCTCTGTGAATTTAACTGGGTTGATGGGATATGTCTGTAAGAGACAATAATTCAATCTGTAAATAACATTCTTAATAACACCTTTTCCACGGTTGGCTTCTGTGACTGTATATTCACCAGTGCAGTTACTGCTGAAGGGAGTACTAGGTGTTAGTACGAAAAATCCTGCAATTTGAGGGGGCAGCAGTAGTGTGAGGTGGAAGAGGAGGCACCAACCACATCAGCATGGTAATGTGGGATGTGTGAGTGCCCTTGGAGCAGCAGACCACCTGCCTCAGGGGCATTATGCCCGTGGTTTCTCTTGTCTTTCCCTTCCTGTCAAAGCTCCTAGGCCTCTGTTTTGTCATTTTTAACCTAATGTGATTTCCAAGTGCTACCAAGTGCACACTCTACAAAACTAGTGAAAAATGAATTGTTGGTGATAGTTTCCTAGTAAAATAAATGATCCGATGGCTGTAGAAATGTAAGGTTTTAACAGTGAAAACCATGATAGTTTAGTACTCATAAGTTTTAGAAATCATTTTGCCCTGATCAGACAATAGAAATTCATTTATCCAGTCATAAGTTTAAAATAAACAAAATAAAAATCATGCTGGGTGCAATGTCCAAATTGGAATTCTCAGATAATTATTCTGAAAGTTGTCTAAAAAGTCTAAAAACTGAAGTCTTCTGACTGAGATATACTTAGTTATACAAAGATGCATTATTTAGTAGATGATCTTGAGAGTTTATTTGCCACTCTTCTTGTCTCCAAAGAATTGTGCTGAAGAGACAAGCTAGTTATCCAGTGTTTACTCCTCTTTAATCCATATAGATGTTGTATATCGGTGGTGAATAATTTGTTTTCATACAGAAAATGTCCAGAATGAATGGATCATCACAGTGATTCATGTTCACAATAAAGCAGTGTCTGAGACATGTTTCTTCATGGTCATCGTCTAAGTGCTCCTCTGCTTTCACTTACCTACTCCTGCAGCTGTAAGATAACTTTCTAAGCACTTGAGCTAATTTAGAGTGTGCATGGACCAAGGGATGATATACAGTGCTTTTGCTATCTGCCAGACCCGAGTAAATCACACTTTGGCACACTTTTTTCAGGCTGACAAGTCCCCTCTAACATGCTCAGAAGCTGGTTTCCAGATAGTGATTGGTCCCGGACGGCAAAGTGCCCTCCGCATGTGCTCAGCTCTTGTCAGTCCTTGCAGCATTGGCAAGGACAGGTTTATGACATTCTTTCTTGCTGAAAACTTAATGGGAAACCTAGTCGGATTTCCAGTGTGTTCACATCAGTTCTGCGCCTGAGGCGTGAGGCCTGGTACCACTGCGTGAGCTGAGAACTGGATCCAGGGAGAGAGGCTGAGGAAACAGAGGCTATAAAACTGAGAAAAGAGTTTCTAGAATTATCATCAACTATCAGACAATCAAAATTTAACATTTCTTATGCACATGGTAACGCGACTTTGTTTTTCCCAAGGAGGCTGGACTTCAGCACATCCTATCCCCCAGCCCGCTCTCCTGTAATGATCTGATTGCAGTCATTACTTGTGATTGTCGCAGAGGGCATGAATATGAATAACCATAACCTGTGCATTTGGAAAAGATAATCTGTTTATCTCTGAGGTCAGAAGAGCAGCTTAAATTTTCACATAATCTGATATTCAGAAGCAGAGAGCATCGAAATTATGTCTGTGCTGGGCTAATTGGGATTTGTGCTTTGAGATTGTGTATACTGTGCATGCAGACATTGGGAGGAAGACGTGTTTAATGACGGAGACTGGGAGGAATTCCTGAACTTCCTGTAGGTTCTCTTTATTTAGGGGAAGGGAAAGAAATATCAACTTTTCAAATATACCCTTAAATAAGTGGAATCTTGAGCTTTCATACTTGTGTTTAGGATTCTTCCATGGGTATTTCAGAGGTCATATGAGTAGCCCTCCCTGAATAAATCCTAGAAATACACCTGCTGAAATGGTTCAGTTTACTGGGATGTCACTGTGCCCCACAGATTGTCGCCGGTCAGATCCTGTGCACTGGTGAGGCTCTTCTGTAAAGCACAGAACACTCTCCATCAACTCTGAATTTGTCTGACAGACAAGACTTTTCACGTCTTACCCGTCAAAAGTTCATGTCTGAACTTTCTGAGGATTTTCCAAACAGCACAGGCTGCTGTGCTGCACATTAGGTCTTAAAAACTGTTTTCTTTTTTAGATAGGATGACAGTAAAGAACGAATTCTTAGTCCTGATGAAAGTCTTGTTCCTAGGAATGCCTCTCCTGTGCTAGAAAGGCTCAGTGGCACAACATAATTGTTGGTGGCTTTCTAATCATAAGCAGAATTTTGATTTTAAAACTGAGTATTTTTGGTGCTACAGGCAATTTTTTATTAGTTTTTTTTTTATTCCCACAGTTGTTTTTCTCTTCACTTCCTTCTTTGTATTGTCACTGGTGAGTTTAGATTGGAAGGAGCGTATCCCAAGCTTTTGTCTGGATTTATAGGGAGGGTGCTTTCAAGCAACACGCTGAAGCACCCTGGTCTGAAACTCTTACAATTTGGAATTATTAAGGTTGGAATGATGCATGTACTCTATTGTAGCTGTCATGCTACTTCCGAGAATTTCAATCTTGATGTCCTTTTATCATCATGACAAAGAGTTACCCCATAATGATGCTGAGAACATTTAAGGTTATTTTATTGAATTTTTTGTCTTCCCTGCAATTCCTGTCTGTGAAACACACATGAGCTAAAGGAGGAGTTGACTCTTGCATTTAGATGAAGACAGCTTATGCCCTCTGCTCAGCTCATGACATTTTTAAACTCAAGCTGGGGGATAAATGCAGGGGGAGGGTGGGAAGGCAGAGAGAAGGTTGGAACTCAGGAAAAAAAATATAGGTACTTTCATACAGTAGTTTCATTTCTCAGCAGACATTTTTATTTACAACACTGCAGGTATTTTGACAGCCTGGAGTTCTTTGCACAGGAGAAGTCTGACTTACAGCTTGACAAACCTGTTACTGTAAAGTGGAACCAGGGAGTCCTACAGTTTTGCTAAAGTCGTTCTGTGCTATCCATATGTGGTAAAAATCCACCTGGATAAATTCTGTACAGAAAAGATATGGGCAAGGCCTGTTTTTGAAGCCTTCAGCTGCCATTAGATTTACTTTGTGAGAGCTCAGTCTTGAACATTTAGAGGGTTGTGCTGAAGAAACCTTGGTGGGTTTTTTGTTTGTTTGTTTGTTTTATTTGTTTGGGGATTTTCATTGAATATCTGCCACAATGTAAAAGAGTCCCTCAGGGCAGGAGCTGTTGAAGTGCAGATGCACGAAGGCTGGTGGTTTCTTGGGGGGCCCCCTCAGAATGAATGAATGTGGCAAACTTCAGTGCAGACCATGTGTATTGCACAGTGTCAATTACCCAGCCTAGTATTTTTTCTCCCATAAATTATCTATTTTTGCATTATCACTCAAGTATGCTGCATGATCATCTAATTACTTATTAAGATGCCAATTGCTAGTAATGCTACAGCAGACCTTTGCAAGTCAATTTGATGTGCCTTTTTCCACTGCAAATTATTGATATTGTGTTTCTCACTGATACCTCCACTGTCTGAGTGACAGCAGCACAACTAACCAGTTCAATATTTCTATTGTGTCTATACAGAAAAAAACACTGGAAAAGACAACCTGTTATTTTAAAATCAGCATTGAGGAGTTCCTACTGTGTGCATCTGGCGTTAGAGCAGAAACACTGCAAAGAGCAACCCAAGATGAAGGCAGATCCATCCAATGAAGAAGTCACTCAAGAAACAGTTGTGGGAAGCACTGAAAAAACCAGAATTTACAGGCAGGAATGTTGGCATATCCTTTGAAAAGAAGGTAAGACTGTCTGGTTGTTGGGGTTTTTCCCCTTTGATTATAAGTGAATAATTTATTGTCTCCTGATGTGTCTTTATTCCCAGTGAAAAATGCAAGCATGTTGTCTGATGAGTAAAGATGGGGTTCAGTGTTCATGTTGTTCTATAAAAAAATTCTCAAGTATCAACAAAAAAATTATAATTTCCAGTTTTTTAGTCCAAAACACTTGTTACTTCTCATTTTCTTGAGGTTTCTTAGAGTGTGAGTGTTCTTTATACATGATACTGAAATGTACTGAAACAGGTGTGCTCCTCAGTCTGTTTAACATCAGTTGTCTTTTTAAGGCTGAGGATATTGAAAGGGAGAAAGCTGTGAGATGTTTGTCAAAGAAGCACCAACGAAACTTTTGATTCAACCTCATTTCAGCCAATGTGAATCACTGCAAGTAATAGGTATAGAGATATAAAAATGGATATGAGAAATGTTCTCAGGCTTTATTTGTACATCAAAAGGGTAAATAAATGCTGCTTCTGTGTGCTGGCTGCAGGGTGAATAGGTTTTTTGCAAGGGTTGTAAATTTGTACTTCTGACACAGGCTGTACCTTTTTTCTTTCCAAGACTTGAAATTTTATATTGTGAATTATCAGATAGCTTGATTGAATCTATTTCTACTTCGGAGTGAAAGAATAATAGTTTTAACAAAAGGTTTGAGAAATAATTGTGAATAGAGTGCTTACCTAGAAATACTAATTACACTTTTTCAATGAACATCTCTGTGAACATAACTTTTCTGAGGGGGAAAAGTTATGCTGAGAAGCACGACCTTCAAACCTGTGGGAGACATCCTTGCTCCTGGAGGAAGTGCTAATTCTACACTTCAGCTGCAGGCAAGAGGGATTGTGCTGGGTGAAAGCATTCTGTCATCTGAGTTCCTGGGTCCATGTATGAGATCATCTCACTCTTGTTTCAGCTTTCATCTCTTTCTATTTTAGTTGGGATGCACATGGAACTTTTTTTGAAATATACTTAAGACTGTCATCATGGGTTGCTGTAGGATAAATTCTGTATTACTATCAGGATGAGCTCACGTGGACTTTTTATTCAGCTTCTCACAAGCTGCACGTTACAATGGTCAGTTTACTTCTAACATCTGCACCAGCTCCCATACCTCAACACTGCATTGACATCTACAGTTTGAACAAATCCTCATTGCCCTTGCTTTTGATGACATACCAGACAGGGGCCCTGGCCTCAGATGGAGATTTTACATGTCCCTGTAAGACAAGCGTTGCTGAACAAAAGAAGACCTGTGGCTTTACTTTAAAAGGAATAAAAAAGAGGAAAAAATACCACTCAAAAGACAGTAAAAAATTGCAGATTTCCAGTGCTTTTCCTCTTGCTTTTCGGGGGGAAAGCTTTCTTCCTCCCCCTGTTTTAGTTTCCCTTCTTAATGCCAGCTAGACTCAGTATTAGGATACTTGGATGGCAGCTCTGTCATGATGTTGAATTTATTAGTTGTTGTTGAATTATTACTGGCGGACAGTATCATGCTGCATTAAGAAACTTCCTGTGACCTTAATAAGAAATCACGAAACTATTGCTATGGCTTTCCTTTCATTACTCTGATTAGAAAGTATGATTTCATAGAAGCATGTTCTTCATGTTCCTTCTCAGCCTTCTGCATTGCTGTTTGAAAAAAAACAAAGCAAAGCAAAAACCCCAAAACCACCACCGCCACCACAAGAGAAAACCGCAAAACCTCCCAGAAAAACAAAACCAAAAAACCACCATCTACAACATAAAGGAGGGTGTAATTCTGTTCACGTAAGAGAAAAGGAAAAAATAATTACAGAATTGTCTGCTCTGCTCTGCTTACCTCACTTTGGGAGTAAATTCATTTGTAAAATATGTGCTGTTTCATAATTACCCTTCCTGACAGAGGACCAGCTCTGATCCCTGCAGGCTCAGTGTGGTTTGGGTGTTGTTAACACCTGGGTTATCTGCCCCAGTGTTTTCCTTTTGAAATAAGGCACGACCAGTAGATATTTCTCTCTGAACCTACCAACAGCAGGTCCTTTTGCCAAGTGATCACAGTAGGTTGCTCTCCTCAGCAGTGTGGCCTTACCAGAATGTTCACGGGGTGTGGGGGAAGTTCTGAAAGCTGGATGCAACTCAGGTGGAACCGTTCCATTTAATCCTTTACTCAAATGAAAAGACAAATTATTTTTATGATTAATACTTTAAGAAAATATATTCATTGTCTTTCTATGGAAACCCTACTTCAGTTGTGGTATCTGGTTCTCAAAAAGCACAACTTTGTCTGGCCATAGCATACTTTAGTCTAAAGATATACCCATGACCCTATAAAGATATACCATGACCCTAGATGTTGCATTTTTCATTGTTGAACACCTCTCCTTTCCAACAGCTTTGCCAAAATTCAAGTTTTCTCCAATTCTGCTCTCAATTCTCACACATAAATCAAGATTATGCTGCAGTTCTTAAAATACTCAGGCACCCCAGTTGCTTTCTTGATGAGAAACCATGAACCAGATGAACAGCTATAGGCTGACCATGGTTTTATTTTTATTCAGCCCCAGAGACTCTTTCCTACTGCAGTAGTAAAAGGGGCCTTTAAATATTACTACCTCATTTTTATTAATGATTTAGATGATGGGATTGAGTCCACCATTAGCAAATTTGCATATGACGCCAAGCCGGGGGGGGGAGTGTCGATCTGCTGGAAGGCAGGAGGGCTCTACAGAGTGACCTGGACAGGCTGGAGAGTTGGGCTGATTCCAGCGGGATGAGGTTCAACAAGGCCAAGTGCCGGGTCCTGCACTTTGGTCACAACAACCCCCTGCAGTGCTACAGGCTGGGGACAGAGCGGCTGGAGAGCAGCCAGGCAGGAAGGGACCTGATTGATAGGAAGCTGAACATGAGCCAGCGGTGTGCCCAGGTGGCCAAGAAGCCAATGGCATCCTGGCCTGGATCAGGAACAGTGTGGCCAGGGAAGTGATTCTTCCCCTGTGCTCAGCACTGGTGAGGCCACACCTCGAGTACTGTGTCCAGTTTTGGGCCCCTCAGTTCAGGAAGGATATTGAGGTGCTGGAGCAGGTCCAGAGAAGAGCAACAAGGCTGGTGAAGGGACTTGAACACAAGTCCTATGAGGAGAGGCTGAGGGAGCTGGGTTTGCTTAGCCTGGAGAAGACAAGGCTCAGGGGAGACCTCATCACTCTCTGCAACTACCTGAAAGGGGGTTGGTCTCTTCTCCCAGGCAGCTGTCAGTAAGACAAGAAGGCATGATCTTAAGCTCTACCCAGGGGAGGTTTAGGTTAGATATTAGGAAGAAATTCTTTATAGAGAAGATGATCAGACATTGGAATGGGCTGCCCAGGGAAATGGTGGATTCTCTGTCCCTGGAGGTTTTTAAGATGAGACTGGATGTGGCACTTAGTGCCATGGTCTAGTAACCACGGTAGTAGTGGATCAAGGGTTGGACTTGATCTTGAAGGTCCTTTCCAGCGCGGCTGATTCTATGATTCTATGATTTTGATGGATTGCCATAAAAAGGCTTGACTGTAAAGGAGAATCAATTTTGTTCTGCTGTTAGTGGGAATTAAGTCATTGTAAATTCAAGATAACGTTGTTCTTAACTTCAAATTTCTGTAGTCATTAAGAAGGATTTTGGTTGGTTGGTTTGGTTTGGTTTGGTTTTTTTTTAACTTCCTAGGATGGATTCTCATAATGTCAACCAGAGCAGCCCAGATCCTGGAGTCCTGTGCCATTCTCTGAGGCCTGTGCTGTTCTTCTGTTTTCAAGCAGAGAGGATTTGAAAATAGTAGGATTGAGTTTTGGAAACTCACTGTGGCAATCGCGTTCTATCTATTGATTCTCTAGGTATCCAAAATCTGTGTTCATATTCAAATATGCCTCATCTTGCGGAAGAGAAGATAGGAAAGAGTTTGCAGTGCTGGTACCAATTAACACTAGCATGGCTTTGAGTAATTTTATGCATTTGATATCTTTATTTTCTCAACACTCTTTCATGCTGATATTAAACATACTTCCACTTCTGATAGTTGCACCAAAGTACCTCTGTAGGAGGTGTGTCCAGGGGTGCAGGGGATGCACTGAGGGCAGGGAAGCCCAAGGGACATGCGCCGGAATACTGGCTCAGTTGTTTTGCTACCCTTGGTACCCCAAAACAGATCAAGACTGACAATGGGCCAACTTTCATCTCAGAAAAGGTAAGAAACTTCCTGTCAGACTGGGGAATTTCACACACAGATATTCCACACTCACCTACTGGACAGGCAATTGTTGAAAGGGCACATTGCACACTGAAAGACATGTTAGCTAAACATAAAAGGGGGGAATCGACCTGTAGCCCTCAAGAGCACCTGTGGAAAGCCCTGTATGTTATAAATTTTTTAAACTGTGACAGTGCTGAAAGAAGCAGGCACAAAAGGCAGCACAGGCCTCAGGCTTTCACCTCTCCCAAACCACCAGTCATGGTAAGAGATCTGATTTCAGGGCAGTGGACGGGACCAATGGACCTCATGACTTGGGGACGAGGCTATGCCTGTATGGCTACAGGAAAGGAGCTGAAATGGATTCCTTCCAGGTGTGTTAGACCCTACCTAGGTACACAACCACAGCAGCAAGAACCAGAGTAACGCAGAAGTTATAAAACGGTAATGTTTTAGTAATAATGTTTAAGTTTCAGGTTTACATTTAAGAATGACCAGTGTGGCGAAAGCAGAGTCTGTACAAAATCCATGAGTGTGTGTATGATGAATGAAATGATGACCGTCAGTGAATGTGTGAGTGAATGAATAAGAGAATTGTATGACTGGACAAGTGCCTTAAACACCAAACACCTCACAAAATAACACTACCTCCGCCACATGGTCACTTTAGGAGAATTTAGTTTTGCTAAGCTTAGCCTGTTTTTGAAATAAAGTTGAACTCCCCAGTTATTTAAACCCTGAGATTAATAAAGGTTATGTGTCTATGCACGGTTGGGCTAAGGCCCCTAGGTTAATAAAGTTATTACTCCAAGTTGCAATACCCTTTAGAAATATAAGAAGGTTTTAAAAGGTTTACAATAGATGTATAAGAAGCCAAAGCAAGCGATATGCTGGGTCATTGCAAGCTTTGGTAGTTTACAATGTACTGTTCTGTTGTTTGCACTGTTGTTTTTCACTGTTTTTGTGACCATCTTAAATAATTAAGAAGGGAGTGATGTAGGAGGCGTGTCCAGGGTGCAGGGGACGCACCAAGGGTGGGGAAGCCCAAGGGACATGTGCCGAAATAGACAACCCCGTTGGTCACAAGGTCACACGGGTTTAAGGGATAAGAAGGAGCGCCGAGTTTGAATAAGGTCTCTTTGATTACCATCTGATCGGGGAGCAGACTCCATTTCTTTATTATATAAAGACTCCATGCTACATACCTCTGTTAATATTTTCTATGAATTAAAATTTCTAAACCTCTACATTTTCAAAATTGATCCAGCATTTTGCATGGATAAGATACAGACTGGTTTAAAACATCTTTTTTAATCTATTCAGATAAAATGATACTGTTAAAGAGAGAAGTATTTATTCGATTCTTTTTGTATGCTTCAGAAGACAGTGTTTTGAGCCTTGCGTTGATGTCAGCGAGCTCATTATCATTTTGATCATAACAGTGATAAGCACTTTATGTCTAAGAACAACAGCTGGTCACAATGTTTTAAGAGTATACACAGTTTTAAAAAAGAAAAAAGTAAGTACAGAACAGTGATTTTTTGTAGACTTTGCCTTGGTTTTTGTCATCTTTCAGAGGGTATTTCAGCTCACTTCTTTCACATTTGTCAATCCTTAAGTTTGAAGAAAGGAAATCAGTGACATTCTCTGTTATGGAGGTAGTGAGCTGACTCCAGTCAGAAAACCAGAACATCAGAGCTGCTTGTGCAAATCCTTCTGAGCATCACCATTCTTCAATAAAAATCAAACCAATCCCCCTGATTTCGGAGACATTGTTTGTATACTCCCTCATTTCACACACACAAACATGCCGCAGTGCTTTAACTGCTGACTGTCCTCTCAGCTTTGGAGTTTATCAACAATCAGGGAAAACTGCTAACTACCTAATTAATCCACTTTGCGAAGATGCTTAGCCACCTCAAGAAGAAAACATTATTGTTTGGGCTGAATGCGTGTTTACTTAAACAAACTGGGAGCTGGATTATACGAGTGAAGCCTCCAGAATCCATGATGCACTCGAGCAGGCAGGGGATTTGCTCCTGCATGAATACTGTTCTCCTTCAAACCAACACCTTGTTTGATATTTTACTGTGGATTCAGGCACTTTTAAATCACCTTGTTTTACAAGCCACTGCAAGTGTTGCGGTATCAGCACTGTAAAATCTTAATAGTCTCCTTTTGCTTTTGCAAGGCACTGCAGGAACCAGATGTCACTCAGTTATGGGAAGCTGCTCTGTGCTTGTAAGGAATGCTGTGTTGTCCGCCTTCAGCACCATGTTGGAAGATACCCATGAAAGCTTGGGACAAGAACATAAATGCTCTCTGGCAAAATAACTCTGGAAGTACACATGTTTTGATCCTGATAATCGTAATTGTCCTGATCTCTATCCCTGGTCATGTTTTCAGAGTTTTCTTCTGAAAAATTGCTTTTTTTAAAAAAAAGTTCATGATCTAGAACTGAAACTTTCTTTAAGGCACTGGTTTAATGCCTTCAGGGGAATTCTCAGAATATCTCTGGGGTTGGAGGTATTTTCCCTCATTTTATGGAAGAATGCAGGTGATTTGTGCTGGTTTGTAGTTCGTTGTGATAGGGCAGTGACAGGTGTCAGATTGTTGCACTCTCACTCTCACCATTGATCTGACCTTCCGTTGAGGTGCTCATGAATGACTAGAGGAGAGGAGAAAAGGAGCAGTAGAATGGTGGGGAAAAAAAAAAAAGAAAAAGAAAAAAGAATTGACAGGATTTTATAGGAAAAAAGTTTAAAAAAAGACTGTGATGATTTTTCTTGGGAGCAATGAGAAAACAGCACAACAGCAAGTGTCATTTCAAGTCCATAGTCAATAAATTCAAGAGATTACAGTTTGGAAGAAATAATTTCAGCTGCTTGGGCACCTTACTGAGTGTTTCATTACTGGCAATACAATGATATCTGCGGTATTAACGGCTCCCCAGCCAGGAAGGCTTGCCACATAGACAGCAGCCATTGGAGAGCAACAACAGAAGAGGGTGCTGGGAGAGTGGGAGGAAGATACCAGAGATTTAATGACCTGAAAGTGAAGTGTTTGAAATATAATTACATGAAGAAGATTTGTTTTTCCTCTTGTGATTATGTTTGAATAACAAGGACTGCAGTACCTGCAAAGGAATTGGGAAGTAAATAACAGCTAGGGATTCGTTTTCTTTAGTTTCAAGAAGGGACATGATTTGAAGTGTAGTATTTGATTTAAATGGTCTCTCTCTGAATTTGAGAAGTGAGGGAAATAAACTGAAAACTATTTAAGTCAGAGAGGCGAGATCCCTTGTTAGTGTGTACACTTCCAGCTAATTTCAAGGCAGTTTTTATTTATTCCAACTGTGCTGTGCAACAGCCGCAGAAAAGCTGGGCTACCTCAGGTGTATGTGATTGCCGTTTGTGTCTGGTTTTTAGTAAACCCTGCTCACACATATCAGATGAGGGAATGATATTTGCCATGGGGCCTTTGAACCTGAGGCTACATCACTGGGAAGGGAGGGAGGTCAAGATGGTCAGGGAAGGATGCATTTTGCAATTTTCTGTCTCTTCCCTGAGTCAAAGCATTCCTTACACCATCACTGAGTGTAGTCTAAGCGAAGAGCAGACATTGAATAAGGTGTGGATTGCCCAGGGACTGCTGTGCTGCACAACCAGTCTGGAAATTGCTGTGAAATTGATTTAATTATATAAAGCAAGCTACTCTGATATACTAGGGATGTTAAAAGACAATATTCCCAGAAAAGAAATTTGTCTTTAAAATTGAATGACTGAAGACAGCAATTTAATTAATGCTTTAATACTTCTGGGAAGGATTTTGTGATGTAGGTAAAAAGACTGAGTTTACTTTCTTCTGATAATTTTCCCCCAAACACTGACTTGCTAGGGCTGATGTAGGCTGAGTACCACTCTGCATCCCACATGAATTTCCTTCAGGTGTCCTGCTCATGTCCCAGCTATGCTCCGGATTCTCTGCCATCAGGGCACCCACTCTGCCAGTCCCTTTGGTGGCTGCTGGTCAGCCTGGCCTGCTCTCCTTTTCTCACAAGTTGCTTTCCTGTAACCTTACGCATCCACTGATTAAATGTCCAAATCTCTTCCCCAACTCTTCTCTTAAGTGGCTGCAAACTCACAACAAGGTGTGTATGAAGGGGACTCGCTGGAGGACTGATGTTCACCAAGCATAAAGTAAATTTTTTCCCTCAGAAATAAATATATGGCATAACTCCCTTTCTAAGGAAGATGATGCTCCTAGGAAGGCATAAAGGCTGAAATAGGTTATTGTAAAATTTAAGTATATTCATCTTTAGTCTGTTCCTAGGTGCCATTTAAATACAAAGGGCAGAAAATGTGACATGCAAACTTTCAAAAAGTGCTACCTTTAAAATTTCTTGATCTGTTTAATACCCAAAGGCTCTTCTGCCATTTGGCTGTAGCACACAGTGCTGCTCTAAGACCTGGGAAGGTTTTTAACCACTGTCATTGAGGCTGGAGCAAAATGGATAACTATAATTTTCTGGCAACATGCACCTTCCTTAGCTTCTACTAAATCAGAAACTTTCACCCTTTTTTCTGTGCCAGTTCAAGATCTTGATGTGTTCTATCTTATGCAACAAAATGCACTTGACTGCACTGCGGCTTAGTACAAAATAATGAGCTTTACTAGTCTTGCCAGCCCTGCCACAGGTTTTTGTGCTTGCAGTTATTTCGACTGGAGTGAGAGGGTTTTTTTCTTCAATGTACTGGGCATTAAAGCAGTCCAAAAGGCCTGGGGAGAGGTGAAGCTCTCTGGGCACCCAGCCCAATATGTGCTCCCTCGGGCTTTTTCTGTCCACCCTGTTGTGTTATAATTTTGCAAAAATGCAAAGAGAGAAACTTGAGATCTAGCAGATTTCCTCTATAGGGATTTCAGGGTAGAAATGTTTGTAGCTAGAAGGTACATAGATCACAATGACTAAAAAGAGAGGGGAAAAATGGATTTTTTGAGGCTGGAATGTGTGTTTTTTTGGAATTTCTTATTCTAGGTAAGACAAATTAATTGTAATGATAGTACAGCTACAGTACTACAGCTAATGATAACATGTGAAAATATCTAATGAAATGCTAGTATTGATGATGGTGTTGAAGCTTAGCCCAAATAGGCTGAGGGGCTCTCTAGTGCCCTCCTCAGTTCCTCAGGGTGGTATGCCTGGACTCTGCAACCCTCCTTCTGTTAACCATGTTAAGATGGGTTAGAACAAACAAAACTGAACATTTTTAATAGAGTAGGTAGAAACATTTTTCTTGGTTTTAGGAAGTTTTAATTGAGATGAAAATTCAGTGCTGAGAATTTTCATAAAATGAAAACAAAAAAAAAAAATGACCAGGCTTGAAACATTTTAATTCTGCTCTCTCTCATTTCTAACATTTAATTCCTTTTTTTTTTTTTTAAAGAAAAAGTGTTTCCAGAGGAGAAAGGAAGCAAGGTACCAGAAATATGAAGAGAAACCTCACAGCTTCAAGTCCAAATGAGATATTCCTCAAAAATGACTTCTGTCCTGATTAATTTGCTAAAAATAGATCAACATCTTCCAGTAAAAACTCTCTATTAAAAAGATGCTGGCCAGCAAAAGTATCACAACTTGTGCCTGTGCATGGCTTCCTGTTTTCCAAAGGCCTCCACAAAACCTTCTGCTTTGTTTCCTACAGGACTTATTCCATGCATGTTTTAGATGCATTTTTCCATGGGTAGAAGAAGCTGGGACACACCCTCAATGGGGAAACACTAGGCCTGTTCATTGCCATCTGATTTCAAAAGGCTTTCCAGCCCTGATGGGCTGGTGGGATTTTTCCTGGGTGGTGGTGTTAGCGTGTGCCCTGTGCTGGAAGGGCCAGTGTGGCCCTTGGGGAGTGTGGTATGAAGAGCCACGTGGCAGCATTAAATTAACTGATGGAAAAAGAGCACTTACCTTTTGTGGATGGCATTTGAAATTTCTAACATGTTGCACAAACACAAATTACCCTTTGTGCTCCCTGAAAAGATAAAAACTGCTGCTCTTACAAAGCCAGGAGGGGGTAAGAGCCATGATACAGTTACTACTGTTTCTATCTCTCTTCCAGATCATAGGATGATAGAATGGTTTTGGTGGGAAGGGACCTTAAAGATCATCTAGTTTTAAGCCCTCTGCCATGGGCAGGGATGGCACTCACTGGACCAGACTGCTCAGGGCCCCATCCAGCCTGGCCTTGAACACTTCCAGAGATGGGGAATCCACAGCCTTTCTGGGCAACCTGTGCCAGTGCCTTACCACCCTTGCAGTCCAGAGACAGCTTAAGGCCATTCCCCCTATCCCTGCCTGCCTTGGGAAAAGTCCCTCTCCAGCTTCCTTACTGACCCCCTGAAGGTACTGGAAGTTACTGTAGAACTCCTAAAAGGTCAACAACGAAAAGGAGTCGGTTGGTTGTGACCGTTGGCTGTCATGAGCCCAGTAATCCAGAATGTTGAGGGATGGACCAATCAGAAGGCTCTGGTCCAGGTGACACCATAAGGCCTTGGAATACCTGTGGCAGTTGGAGGGGCAGAGCAGTGGGAGGCTAGCGCAGCGGCAGGTCAGTGCAGCATGTGCTCCTGTCTTGCTTCCCTCCCATTCCCTTTTTTTGTCATTGGCGTTGTTCAGTGGAAGTCGCCCAGGACCTTTTTGAGTCAGAAGAGGAACACCTGAAGAAATGAGTGCAAGTATTCCTTTGATGGACCTTCCCAGCTGTGAAGTCCACAGACTTGGAGAGATCGCAGACCTCGTGAGCTCTGTTGGCCGCTCACGCGTTGGTAAGGAAAAGCTAGCCCTGGCCTTGAAAAAGGAAGGCTATATTCCCAAACTGCTGCAGCTTTTCCAAGTCTGTGAGAATTTAAAGGACACCGAAGGCTTGCGTCTTTTGTTTGACATTGTGAGAGGAATTTTGTACCTGGATGAAGATGTTCTGTTTGAGGTGATGTTTTCTGACGAGTGTATTCTGAATGTTGCTGGATGCCTTGAATATGATCCGTCTTTGGCTCAGCCAGAAAGCCTCAGGGAGTTCTTGATGAAAACAGCAAAGCTTCAGGAAGTTATTCCTACAAGAGACCCTGAAATCAGGCACAAAATCCGCCAGACATTCAGGGCACAATACATTCATGCCATCATCTCGCAGAATTCATCTGACTTGGAAGAGGGTTTTCTTTCTACCCTCACTGCATTCATCAGACGCAGCGAAGAGGAGATTTTAAGAGTCTTGCAGGTAAGCGGGTTTCAGTGTGGCCTAGATGGGATCTGTATAGATCCCTCTGGCTGTGGTTTGGAAATGGGTTACAGCTGCTGAACACTGTCTAAGTTAATCACTTTCATTTGCACAATGTTTGAATGCTTCCCCTTCTTTCTGATGCCTTGCATTCTGTACTTTCAAAACGGTAGATTTCAAGTGAGTATCTTAATACTTTTTAATGGGTTGTAAAGAGTTTAAAGTCCTTCTCTGTGATTGCCAAGCAACATACACCTTTGGAACTGGTTTTGTGTAGGTATTTCAGGAACAAGCAACATTTGTTATTCTCTGTTAGGGGCATTTGTTACACTGTTTTCTGTGTGAAGGGGTACAAAGAAATACATGTGCAGAGAGGGCAGAGAGCACCCAAACACTTGAGAGATGATGATGTTCACCCTGGTTTTCTTGGAGTCTGAAGCAACGGGGTAACCAAAATGCTTTACAAAAAATAAAATGTTGTCCTATATATCCTTAAGTGAGCCTTGGCAGCAGAGGATATGAATATGAGAAGCAAAAAATAGTCCCAAAAGTTTCCCATCTTGGCAAAGCAGAGCTCCTGCAAGTGGGAGAGAAGGTTTCATTGTGAGTACGATTAAGGAGGATGTGTCTGCAGCCAGCTTGTAACCTGTTAATCTTGTCCCCCTTGCAGAGATGGACTGAAAAGATGCCTTGCAATGCTACAGATCCAAAAGAGGGAAACTGATCCTGTGGGTTGTTCATAGTGTAGTGTGAACAGCGTGGGTGCAGCAAGGTCAATATTGTCTCTTGGTGGGCACTTTCTAGTGCAGAAGTGCATGGGTTGCTTCCCTGGAAGGTTCCATGCAAGGTGCAAGGAGGGAGCCTGGCACATCTTTGGACTGCCCTTTTCTGTCCTTTTGCTGGGGGTGGGGTGTGTGGCAGATCCCACAGGGAATCTATGAGGTTGAGAAGAGCTGCAAAGCCCTGGGGTGGAACAGCACAGAAGGAAAGGAAGAGAGACGAATTTAGGGGTCAGTTTAAGGGATCATCTCCTCTGCTCAGATTCACCTGTGACTCTGGTCTCCCAGAGCTGCTTGTGCCGCACACGGGAAGTGCTGAAACAATACACTGGAAATGATCCTGCTGAATGTGTACTCTGGCATTTGCTTTCTTTGGGATAAAAATAATGGCAGTGTGGAGAGTTTGACTTTGTGCAGTGGACGATCCTAGAAAGATTTATTTTCACTCTCCAGAGGCACTGTGTAAGTTGTGTTCTTTTTGTGTGTTCCACAGAAAGATGAGATATTTTTCTCTGAAATTTTTGCAAAATTGAATGATGAAGCTACAGCTGATGAGCAACTACGTGAATTGGTAAGCCAGTGTTCTCGGTGTTTCCTTGAATGCTTTAAATGAAAGAGATGAAATAGAAAGAGTGAAACTGTTCTGATAGTTACAGTTTGTGTTGAAGGGAGGGTGTCCTGGCTGATTCTCCAGAAAAACCTCCAAGACCGCAGAACTGTTTCCTCCTTTCCGAGAGTTTTCTGACTCAAATAAACCTGGCCTTATTTTTTTCTTGTGCACTAGGTGAAGTTTTTCAGGGAATTCTTTGCCTTTTCTTATGCATTACCTACGAATAGAGGTGAATTTCTCAACACTTTGGCAAAGTTTGAAATTCTTCCAACTCTTGAAAGGTTAATGGTAAGTGAAAATGTACAGCTGATTTTAATAAAACTAGAAAAGGTCTTAGTGATTTCACCAGTGTTTTGGACCTACCTCGTCTAATGGGAGAGCTTTGCTCTGCTGAGAGTGGAAGTTCGTTGTGATGTTCAGCCTCCAAAAGCTGCCCACAGTTCCACTCTGGAGTAACCTGGCTCGATTGCTCTTATTATTTTTACTTTGCATGATGGAGAAGTCTGTGGGCAGTGCAGTCCTTGGGACAAGGTGGTGTGAACCTTGAAAGAGACTCTTCTTGATGTGGCAGCTTGATTGGTTTTTTATCAGACACAATCCTATCTGAATTCTTGTTGCCTGCAAATGAGCAGAGAAATTGTTGTACACCTTGATTTGTACAGCTGGTCCTTTTGTACCAAATGAATTGTGGATAACAGGTAGAAAAGATCAGTGTCTGAGATACTTTAGCAAGTAGGCTGATGTGAATGTTTCTGGCCTAAATTAGGGCTCTCAAGTTCACAGAAAACCTTGTGTCCTTTCTAAAGGAGGGAAAGAGTGGGAAAAGATTTGTCTGGGTTCTTGTTGTTCTTCTGTAACTGTTTTACTGTGTTTCTCCTAGAAACTTTTGTAATGAAACATTGTCCAGATTTTTAAGTGCCTCTCCTTTGAATCTTCACTTGATAATAAATACCAAACTTGATATACTCTAACAAATTAATCTCTTTTGTCTTAGGGAATGAATGATCTGCAAGTAAGATCTGTTGCTGCAGATATATTGTCTTATGTAGGATACTTTAATCCTTTCACGGTCCATGACTTTGTACTGCAAGAGGCCCATCAGAGTGACAATGTAAGTAAAAGTGGTTTGGAGATTGTTAACATACTAGTTTTAGGGCAAACAGGGAAATAATGAGGCAAAGTCTCAATTTCTCTGTTTCCTTTTAATTTTTATTTAAAAAAATTACAGAAACTGGGGAACTCATTCCATTCCTGCTAGTAATTATTTTGTGTTTTCTTTGTTGGTTGGTTTGTTTTTTGCAGAACAAACAACTCCTCATTGTGATCATTGAGCAGCTGATCAACAACGCTGACCCTGGACTTGGAGGAGATAATCAGCTAAAGAAGATTTTGCTTATTCTGATTGATCCAGAGAATATGCGGGAACACGTTAGTGTAAGTGAACATGAAGGGCAGAAGACACATCACTGTCTCAGCAAAGTTATAAGCCTGAGAGTCTCTATTGCTATTATTGTGGGCAGAGAATAAACAATTTTAGGTTTTTTTTTATTAAGTGGAGTGTGGTCTGGTAGTGAGTTTAAATAAGCAAAACAGAAGTGAATTTTGCTAATGAAAGTGTGCCCTAGTGTGTCTGGGGCACTGTGCAGGCACGAAACCAAGCAGTCCCCTGTGGCAGTGCCATAGCACTGTCTGACTGTAACTCCCTCTGGCTGGATGATAAATCCTGAAAGAAGAGAGTCCAGTAGAGTCTGTGTGAAACCAAATCAATGTTTTAATACATTGTAATGTCCCAGAATACCAGTCAAAAGGTTTGCAGGTTGTTCTGGCTGCAGAAGAAACTGCATGTCAGAGTGGTTTAAGGTCACTTGGTAAAGCGCTTTGAGTCATTGAGGAGTTTCTGCATTTGATGAGTTTATATTTGCATCCGTGCTGGGGAGCCTTTTGGTGATAGCTAGGTTGGTTGACTGTCTCACAGATTTTTCCCAAAATAAATAAGTCAATCTTGCTTGAGTGAAGACAGTGCTGCAGGCCTAAATAAAAGACACAGGCAGAACTGAGGGAGTCAGTAGAATTCTTCCTAGGCTGTTTCTTCTGCTACTACTCTTTCATATTTATATATGATTGCCAGAGTTTAATGCAGTTACTGTTGTTTTAGAATTTAGAAATATTTGAGTTTCTCGATTTCTTCTACGACCGTTGCATTCA